AAATTTGTATTTACCAAAAAAAAAAAAAAAATCATAAATTTGTCCTCTGGGCTCTAGTTAATTCTACAGGAAGACAATTCAAATTTTTCACATTCATCAAGAATCGGACCAGGCTACATGGGCCCTAATGCACCGCGTGTAATTACTGGTTGATGGGCTTTTATCAGCCTGGAAAGCCCAAACCAAAATATTTTGTATCCTACCATAGGAGGACAGTCATTGCCCATATGATTAATATTAAATCATGGTCATTTGTACCTTTTTTTTCATTGAATAAACTTCGTGCTTTAGTAGTTTTCATATAAAAAGAAAATAAAAAAAAAAACACTAGTGTACTAAAATAAAATAAAATATTATAATGATATATTCAATAAATCACTAAAAAAAGGTCTCAATTTCATATTGAATATCTCAACTAGAGCAGTTAAAAAAATGAATCACTCATGAACTTAATTCAATCAAGTTGATAAAATTGAGTTCTGCTCGTTAATGTTATAAAAGTGAAAATTCAAATTTTCTATTTGCTCATTTAGTTAATGAGCCGCTCTTAACTTGACTCGATAAAAAATAAAAAACTCAGGTTGAATTTCAGTTTGCTCTCCGATATTAAAAACTCGATTTCGACTCGACGAATTAGAGTTCCTTTTAGTGCCTAAAATATTGATATACTTCGTAGATATATAAAGAAAATTTCATGATGACAATAGGATAAAATAATAGATTTTGTGGGTTTTCTTATTATTTATTCCTTTTTTTGGTCCATTTTTTTATCGGTTAATTCCTCTGAAGCTCTTTTTGGTGATGAATTTTTTGTTCCCAAGGAAAAAACATTCAACGACAGTAAATAAATAAAAGAAAAAAACAGAACATCGTGGTGATGAACGTTTGTCCTTTTATTATTATTATTATTATTATTATTATTATTATTATTATTATTATTATTATTATTATTATTATTATTATTATTATTATTAATTTATTGATGTAAATCCAATAAAATTTTCATTTAGTAACACATATGTATATTTTTTATTTTAATATTTGGTCCAGAAATCAAAAACTTTGACTGTAAGAGTCAATAATTAATTTAATGAATATATATCTTTTTTATGCAAACTCAATTTTATTATTGCAATTGCCTTTTGAGAAAGATCCAAAAAGTCAATTAAAAATGAGGCATTTTTCATGTTCTTAATAATTTATCATGCGAATTCGGATATAAAGTTATATATGCACAGCCATCATATCATAAATTAGCAATATCATCAATCCACGCCGACTATTAAATTCAGTCCACACCATCCGCAATTAACTCCATGATTTATATCTGAGTTTGATGCCAAAAAATTTCATAATTTGCTAGAAGCTATCATTAATAGTAACAATTCTTTCCACAAAACACATGATTTTGTTAAATTCTGCTCGATTCATTCAGGGTTAACTTCGGCTCAGCTCGTTCGATAAACGAGTTGAAATCGGCTTAAGTTATCAAGGTTAAAAAAGTAAATTGCTTATATAATCTTTAATATTTTATTGGTTAAAACTCGAGCTCGACTCATTTAAACTCGACTTATGGGCTAAAATATTAACAAATGAGCTAAGTAGCTAAAAATAGCAGCACTAGTTAAACCCGTCTTTACTACATCTACCCAAAAAAGAACAGATTTGTGTTCTTTACGCTTTTTAATTTTTCTGTAAAAAGGAAAATAAATTCAGTCACAGGGCCAAACCAAACTCCTCACCGGCAAATCTTCCACCTCTCAACCACCTCAAAATCCCTTCACAAGCACAACCCACACGCCTGCAGCAAATCTGCAGATTTGAGCTTAAGCCCATTTGAATTTTTCAATTTTTTGCCCCGAATTTTGATGGGAAAATGAAGAAGCTGAAGAACTACTACCTTCAGTTCAAGCAGCCGAAATCAAAATGGGTAACAATGGAGAGGAAGTGGATCTTCCCACTGGCCATCGGCTCAGTGGTTTCCCTTTTCCTGCTCTTTCTAACCACCCTGACCTCCCCCGACGGCTTGCCCCTCTTCCCCCTCCGGCGGTACTATTCCCCCTCCGCCGCGGCGGCCGCCGCCGCCTCTATCTTCGTCGAGACGAGGCTGAAACCCTTGCCGATCAGCGATCTCCCTCTTCCGCCGCGGCTGGCCTACCTGATTTCCGGCTCCGCCGGCGACGGCGGTATGCTCCGCCGTACGCTCGAGGCGCTCTACCATCCCAACAATCAGTACGTCGTGCACCTAGACGCCGAGTCCTCGGAGGCCGAGCGGCTCGATCTGCGCAATTACGTCAGTAACCACTCGATCTTCCGGAGGTTCGAGAACGTGCGGATGATTACGAAGGCTAATTTGGTCACATACCGTGGGCCCACCATGGTGGCGAACACTCTGCACGCGGCCGCAATTCTGTTGAAGGAAGGCGGGGATTGGGACTGGTTTATCAACCTCAGCGCGTCTGATTATCCATTGGTGACTCAAGATGGTTACAATTTTGGACTTTTTTCCTTTATTAGTGATGAAAAAAATGTTTCTTTTTTTAACTTTTCTGGAAATGATGTGTTGAATTGAGCTGTGATTATTAATTTTGTCGGTTTGCTATTGAAATTGGCTTTGTTGATTCTTGCTGGGTGATCAGATCTGCTGCATACATTTTCATACTTGCCCCGGGATCTTAATTTCATTGATCATACAAGTGACATTGGCTGGAAAGAGTGAGTGATCTTTTTAAGGCTTATAGTTGTTCTTTGATCTTGAAGTGTGATTAAGTGAAATTCATGGCAGATCTCTATGATTTGATGAAATGGTGTTCATTTAGGTTCCAGAGGGCAAAGCCGGTTATTATCGATCCCGGTTTGTATATGACGAAAAAGACCGATGTGTTCTGGATTTCACAGAGAAGAAGTGTGCCGACAGCATTTAAGCTCTTTACAGGTGTGTTTTAGCTCTAAAATAATTGTGTGTTTTCTGGTTATGGACTTGTGGTTATATTTGGGTTCTTACTTGTTTAGTTTATTATGTGTTAAATGCTGCTACCTCTTTGGTCTGGAAGAGCTATTGGTAACATGTGTTGTTTGTTCACTGTTGTTTCATCATTTTCTGATGATATATGTATATAAACATGGAGGATAATTATCTTGGATAAGGAGTATTAATCACAGTTTTGGGCCACCTTTGAATTCCTTGGTGTTTTACTTTTAGTCCTGTTTTTCACATTTTTAGTAATAAACTGCTGAACTGTGATAACACAACAGCATGACTGTATGGTTAAATTTCATTCATGCTCTGCTATAGTGCTTTTCAAAATTGTGATTTTTTTTTTTTTTTTTTCTAAATTTATCAGGTTATGTATCCGAACTCTCGCATAACGTATTAGAATAATGTACATTGTCAATTCAGTGTATAAAGATTTGAACCGACTAGACTAGTGTTTTTTGTGCAATATTGTTTACTTTGATATACCAGTGATGGATCAGATCCAACTTGCACTGTTCATTCTTTAATACAGTACAAAGATGAAATCGGTCAATTTGAAACGAGGAAAGCACGCGCAAAATGATTGGAATATTGTTGACAGTTGTCGCTCGATTAATATTCTGAATTCTTTATTTTTAGTTATTTCTGCAGTACACACTGTTTCCTGTAGCCCAGTTTTGTTACATGAGCATAGAAAAGAAATTAATGAATATGGAATATAGGCAAAAACCTAAGTGAACTCTTCAAGCATGAACTCATTGCTATATTCTCTACTTGCGGCTGAAAGCCCTTGCTAATTCCGAAAGGCAATCGTAATTGAACCGAGTTCAGCCTCACATGCATCCTCTTGATTGAGAACTCTGGTAAAAAAATGATGAAAATAATAGCAGAGATTACTACAAAATGACATTTTTGACATCCGAACATAAACGAAAGAGCTGAAATCAAACTAGTAAAATAAACTCGAATCAATTTTCAGATCACGGGTCTCAATTCTTGATCAGGGTTCACGCTACAACTTTAAAAATCTGCATTCCTTGCAATAATCTTTATCTTTTTTTTTTTTTCCTTCAACAGGATCGGCTTGGATGGCCCTATCTCGATCGTTCGTTGACTACTGCGTGTGGGGCTGGGACAATCTGCCTCGCTCGGTTCTCATGTACTACGCAAACTTCATATCCTCCCCCGAGGGCTATTTCCACACGGTCATCTGCAATGCTCCCGAGTTTCGAAACACGACCGTTAACAGCGACCTTCACTTCATCTCGTGGGACAATCCTCCAAAGCAGCATCCTCATTACCTCACGCTCGACGACATGCAGAGGATGGTCGATTCGAATGCCCCTTTCGCCCGGAAGTTTCACCACGACGACCCGGTGCTCGACAGGATAGACTCGGAGCTTCTTTATCGAGGTAAAGGGATGCTTGTCCCGGGCGGGTGGTGCTTGGGGCCCACGGAGAATGGGTCAGACCCGTGCTCGGTCGTGGGGGACGACACTAAGGTGCTGAGGCCGACGGATGGGGCCAAAAGGCTGGAGAAGCTCACGGGTTTTCTTCTGTCGGAGGGTAATTTCAGGCCTCGACAATGCAGGAATTAAACCGGGTCGGGTCGGGTCGGGTTGGCCTGAGTTGGGCTGGTGCAGTGTGATTCTTGATTTGGGCTCTCGTGCAGGGGGGTTTTTTCGGGCGGAAAATTTATTTACGTAGGCTCGACTATCCGGGGCTGTTACGGGGGCTGGTTCGGGACAAGACGAGATTTTCATATCATCAAGAAGAGATGTGGGCTCCTTTTTTTATCTATATATTTTTTTTTTCTGGGTTTTGCTTGAATGTGTTGTGTACTACTATAAGTCTACATGACATTGGAGGTGGGTAGGAGTTAGATTTTAGAACTAGAGAAGTACCTCATCCTGTGTTTGTGTGTAATGATTCATATCTAGTTTATTGGTGTTGTGTCTTAGTGTTATCTGTAGGCTGTAATATGTTTGATTTAATTGGCTACAGCTTGGTGGCAACTGGCAAGAGTTTTTTCCTCATTGGGTAGAATTTTGTTTTTCATGGTTTATCATGCTCCATGTGGATGCACCTAGGTAAAGGAGTTGAGCTCGAGTTAGACTCGTTTATCAATATTAATGAGACAAATTTGATCTTCGATTAGCTGATTTCGAGTTTTAACGAGTCAAATTATATATAAAAAAAAAAAATGAGTCTTATCAAGTCGAGTTGAGCCCGACTTCTTAAATAAACGAGTTGTAAGCGAGCTTGAGCTTGACACGTTTGTCTAAAGCAACAAGTTGAGCCAAACTCGAGCTTTAACGAGTTGAGACAAATCGAATTCACGAGCGACTCGTTTCGTTCATAGATCATGCACCTTTCATATAGTAACAACCAACAAATGGTCTCATAAACATTCGCAGGAATATGAAATGGGTGTTGGGTGTGTATTGATCCAACAACATTATGTTAATACTGAATTTTCCTACCTTTTTTGAGAATTTGATTGGGTCGTGGTCTTAAATCAACTGATTTAGATGCGAGTGGAAATGTTTTTTTCTTTTTTTTTTTTTTACTAATTGTATAACTTTTTTTATGGAACTATCATTGGACATGAATTTTGTATCCAACTTAACACTTCTTAATGTTATTAATATAATTAACTAATATTAACAAAAATAATTACTACACAGTTTATTTATAAAATTTATTATTCATTCATTACATGTTTTTAAATACCACTCACATACAATCAATGTTTTACTACTTTTATATCATATCAAATTAAATCATTACGTTTTTTTAACTCATATTCACTCACAAAATCAAAATTAAATTTGGAGTTAGTTTTTTTTTTTTTTTTGTTTTTTTTTTTCAATTTCAATTCACTTTATCTAATAAATAAAACTAAGTAACAACACAACAATTTCTAACCAAACACGACGTGACTATAAAACAATATCAGTGCCTTCTTCCGGGCAGAGCCACTAGGGCGACCGTTCAGGACCCATAATATTTAGGGGCACCAATTGTGTTTGTATATATATATATATATATAATATTTTAATATAGATTATTCTTTAAAAATAGTTTCTTTTTTTTTCTTTCCTTTTTTTCACAAATTGAGGCTTCTAATTTTCTTTTTTGGTTCCATGTGTTGAATTAATATTTTTCTATATTCTAATAATATTTTTCTCAATGAATCATCCTAAATTTCTCTAACATAAATATTGTCAATTTGTGCGCTTATATAATTCAATCATATAAGTAATAGCGGCTCATTTTTAGTAAAAGTTCTAATTAGCAGTCTATTTTTGATTTATTTTTTGGAAATATTATTTAATATATTTTATAATAAAAATCACTACTAAAAAATGATTAAAATTCCAACAAAAATATATTCCAATAGAACTCCAACACGGCAATTTCAATGGATATCTAATGTTGTTATTTTTGTTGAAATTTTTCAATGCATTCCAACGAAATATTCCACAAAGAAATTCCGTTGAAATGAGTTTTCAAATGGATTTTCTTTTGAATTTGACGATTTCAACTGAGTGAAAATATAAATACCAACAGAAGTTGCATATTCCAATGAAAATTCCTACGGTAATAAACTATCGTAATAATCAAATTTCATCTAAAATTTCAATGAAAACCAATTTCAAATGAATATTTCCATTGGAACTATTTCGATAGAAGTTATACAATTTGAATATCTATTGGAATATCCATAGTGAATCATTAAAGTGAAGATAATTTGTTAGGCGGTCTTCTCCTTCAATCTATTCATTTCGGAAAAGTCAAAATATTAAGGACCCATTATTTCACAACAATAAGGGCATTGTTGAACATATCTGGCCTAAGACCTAATAATTTTTAAGACCGACTCTGAACAATATAATCATCATTTGGTTTTTTCAATCATTTAATTATGTTGTTTGAGTAATAAAATTTACTGGAAAAAAAAAAGGAAAATGTTACGGTCCCGTTACGAAACTATTTCGATAGAATTTGTAACTGTTAAATTATCATGTTATCGTCAGACATAGATAATATATCGGTACAAACCTGACGGAATGATTCTGTAACCAGGTAGCATAAAAATATAGTTGGTGCTCGACTTGCTTTCTCAATTCAATTATTAGCTCTTGGTGTCTTACATCACAGCCATGACGTCAAAACTTGTAACACTTCATTTTCTGATTCTATTTGCATTTAATGTAGTGGGCTGCGCGTATTAATTTTTTTTGGTCCCTTTTATTATTCGTTTTGTTATTATAATTCCTCAACAACTAGCTGCTTTTCGCAACTCGACAAAATATTCGAGGTTCTTATTTATTCACTTTATTTCAACTTTAAAGCCTAGAAAAAAAAAAAAAAAATACAATGATAATAGTACTAAAGAATAAATTCAACTCTATTAATGATGTGAGTTGAATTATGGGCCGTCAGATCAATACACGTTCATACAAACATGTGCTTTGACATCCCGAATCATCGTGTGCTTTGAATGTTTGATTGATATTCTTTCGTAGATTTGTGGTTTATAACAAGAATGAGGGACAGAAAAAAAAAAAATAGTCACTATTAATTTACTTAATTAATTCAATTATTAAAACTAGTCCCCTTTAATTTATCACTACAATTTATAAAAATAAAAATAAAATCAACCTTTAAAATATTAATTATTATAATTTTCATTATTTTTCTTTAGCACTACAAAAAAATTTCTTGAATAAATTTAAATCAATTTCACAAAAAAAAAAAAAAAAA